TGCGATTTATGTTTGTAATATCGATTATTTTCTCATCCAATTTTTGGAGGAGACACTGCCTCCCTTGGAAACGCCCCTGCCACAGACTTTCCACAACTTTTTAAAGGTTTTTAAGGCATCTGATTGCATTGACTATTTCTCATGTTACTCCCTACTTAGGATAAATTGTTGTAAATGCAATGTTCTTTGTAATGGAATCAGCCAAATAAAGTCAGTTGGGAACCTTAAAATTGACTAGTTGTACAGTAACTTACTGTTTTGTGAATGTCTCTCCTGATCAGGTGTTTCTCCATCTGCTGAAAACAAACACCAGTAATAATGTCTTGCATGTGGATTTATATGAACACAAACATGCAGAGATTCAGTATCTTACCAATGTTCGGCCGATTAGCGTCCCCAGCATTTCCAATAACTACACCTTAACAATAAACACATGAAGCCCTTTGTCATAACTTTATTGTTAAAGTTCTTTGTAAAGTTGTTGTCTCAGTGGACAGAATAAAGCCACATTAAACATATAAACACAAGAGTCAGTCTCTCACCATTAGTTAGCCCAATATTTTCTTCTCCATCAGGTTGGCCTGCATAAAAAAAATCACTTATTTAAAAAAATGAAGTAGAAATTAAATCTTTCTTACAAAGATCTTGTACAATATAGCTTTTTTTGGTGTCAAATTTAGCTCTGATGACCTGCTTGTTTAGACCTCCTGTGGTGATAGTAATAGAAAATACCACACAAAACTGCAGCCACAGCCAGAGCACTAAAGCAAACCAGCGCTATATGACTTGCGGACAAACCTGGTGCTATAATGGAAAGAGACAGTATCATTACACTAAATAAATCACTAAGATTGTTGTTAACGTACTGTACATGAACATATCAGCGCTGCTGTACCTGCACATGTGTGACAGAGTTGAATGATGTTCAGATGTGTGGTCTGGTTGCTGATGGGATTGTTGAGCACACAGCTGTAGCTGTTTTTATCCTGATATTCCACCTCCAGAGGTAGAGAGAGACTGATGCTGAGATCAGACACACTGATGCTGGACAATAAACTGTTTCCTTTGTACCAGGAGAGTCTCACATGACTCACATTCACCACTGAACACAGCAGCACACATCTGGACACTGATGATCCTGATGGTGAAGAACACTTAGAAGAGTTACTGCTGATGACAGGAACAGGCAGATGAGCTGGAAAACATGAGAGAATATAATACATTTTAATGTCACACTAAAACACCCTGATGCAGTTGGATATGTTCACAACATTGAACATTACAGGTACATCTCAAAAAATTAGAATATCATGAAAAAGGTCAATATTTTACGTCACTCATTTCAGAAAGTGAAACCCATATATTATATAGGTTCATTACACATAGAGTGAAATATTTCAAGCCTTTATTTCTTGAAATTTTGATGATTATGGCTTACAGATAATGAAAACCCAAAATTCAGTGTCTCAGAAGATTTGAATATTGTGAAAAAGTTCAATATTGGAAAGTCATGGTGTCACACCCTAATCAGCTAATTACCTCAAAACACCTGCAAAGGTTTCCTGAGCCTTTAAATGGTTTCTCAGTCTGGGTCAGTATGCTACACAATCATGGGGAAGACAGATGTCCAGAAGACAGTCATTGA